TGTCCAAGGGAACTTCTGTCAACCTTCTCTCCCATCTCTGCACAGGGAAGACGACTAACTGGCCCATGCCGCAAAGGACAAAGCCAATCTGATGGGCTCTCTTTTTGCGTCCAACTCGACTCTTGATGACGGTGGGAATACACCGCCAAAAATCCCGCGATGTGAGTGCTCCATGCAGGATGCGCTTTTAACCCAACGCTCGGTGCGCAGATAAATACACCCAAATGTGTGGAATTATTTCAATTAAAAAAGAAAAGCGAACTTAAGAAATTAAATACAACGTGAATAATATCGCGGGTCTCAAACCATAGGGGTATATACAAAAATGCGATATTTTTTGATTTTTTTGGTTTTAATGCCATTGGATTCTACTATAAGCAATACGTAACCCTAATTTTTCTTATAATTTAATATTAATTACTTTTTGAATAAATTACAAAATATCATTTGTCGTAAGCTAGAGAGTCTGAAATAATTTTTAGGCCATACAGGCGTATTATAGGTAGTACTGAAGTCTTTGTAGAGCCTAATGATGAAGACTGGATCAATTGCGATATGTGCTAGGTGTGGTGCCACGCAAAGTGTACTGATTATTTGGTTTTTGAGGTATTTTAATATGATTTATGCAAGTAATTCGCCTGAACAAACACTGCGCAATCTTATCGTCACCTATGCGCAATTTTACACACCGGGGTGTGTAAGGTTGCGCAATTCTCGACTTCTGTTTTTTTGTTAATTAAGTAAAAAGTGATTATGTTTGCTCAATAATTAGTATTAAAAGTTATTCCCAGATAACTTCCGATTTAATAATAATAAAGAAACCTGTGATTAATTCGTGTATTTTATTTTTTATGTCCGAAATATTCGAAATTGCGCAAACTTACACCACCCTATCCTATTCGTAACAGCAATATTATTGCATATTGGGGCAGACGTGCCACAAAGACGTATGCGCACACGACCATCAATGTCCTGATGATCCTGAGGATACTTAGTCATTACAGCAGATGTATGTACATACGTATACATATTTTAGTATTGCTGTGTCAAGATTTCGTCAGAACGCGGACGCATAGTCATGTCAACAACACCCAATATATAAACTTAGTCAGTAATTAAAACAACAACATCCCGGAAAAAAACAAGGTCGCTCTATAACCAAGTTTAAAAAATTAAATTAACAAAATCTGTAAAAAAATGGTTATTATAATATCAATGATAGAGGTAGGTTAATAATAACCCCTGGGAATGAGGCTATCGCTTCTAAGCTTTTTTGTAAATAGGTTTTTACAACATAAGTACAAATTATTGTATGATATTTTTTTTAAAAAGTTCCACTGAATATCTTGCCAGTTATACCTAGGGTTGGGGCTTTTTCCGAACCACTGGTAAAATTAAGAAATCATTTGCTTACTTGTAATCTATATTGAATAAAATATTCTATTCTAGTAGTACCAAAGGTGTTTCATTACGAGTATCATTAGTAGCCTGAAATTTGACACCAATGTTAGTATAAAATAACCAACAATATCACTTGAAGAGCTTATTAAGTTCAATGTCTCTACTTTGAACTTAATAAGCTCTTCAAGTGATATTGTTGGTTACTTTAGTGTATAAAGTAATGTAAATCAGAGGATTTACACCACTTTCTACACTAATCCCCTATGTGCAGCCATTATTAAGAACTAGCCTATTAGAACCACAAACTACCACATCCAATAGAAATCTATACATATAATAAATCTGTAGAACAGTCGTGTCTGTAATTCTAATATTTCCTGGAAAAACAAGTCCATGGGACTAAATATAGGATACCGAAGCCAAATTACTGGTTTTTAGATTTTTTGTCTGTCTGTGTATTAAAGATTCACGCAAGAACTACTAGACTAATCTCCGTGAAATTTTCTATGCAGGCAGTTAGTGACACGGGGCTACTTATAGGCTACTTTTTATCCGATTACGGAACTTAAAAAAAGGAGAGTTAAATATTTTCCTTTCTTTAGAAGTTAATTTTCTATTATGTTTCATATTGTTAGCTATAAGCGGGATAACGTAGTTTTTTTTTAAACGAATACAACATTTACAATTAAAGTTTAAAATTTGTTTCAACTGTAATAATTTGAAACTACGCCAAGGATCTACATTGTACGTTTCCGAAACAGCGCCATCTGTCATAAAGAGTAAAAAGTAGCATATTTAGCCCTCAGTTATTAGTTACTAAGTAATAAATTAAATAACATAAATAACTTACATTTATACTTTATTTAATGATTTGAAACGTCTAAGATTTATTTTAAGTTTTTCATTCTTTCATTTTAATAGTAGATAATAATTTAAATAGATAATAGTGAAATCTATGAAAATTCAGATATTTTTTAGTTTAATTACTAATTGAACTGATTAACATTGGTTTACCTGCGATCATTGCAAAACTCATTACACTTATACTTTTTTTAAGGATATTTTTGTATATGTCGTGCCCAGATCGTAGAAATAATTTTATCATGAATAATCGATCATTACATGAAATTGTGGCATTTCGTGAAATTTAACACTGTCTGTTGACCATATCATGATAATGCTTGATCAAATCGATGAATAAACATTGTTTGAAAAAATTGACTACTAAACCCAACATTGGTTTTTCATAATATTCTAATATCGTAAAATAGTTTCACTATTCACCGCTAGCGGCGCCGATAGCGTACTTTTTCATAATATTCTAATATCGTAAAATAGTTTCACTATTCACCGCTAGCGGCGCCGATAGCGTACTTTTTCATAATATTCTAATATCGTAAAATAGTTTCACTATTCACCGCTAGCGACGCCGATAGCGCACTTTTAACACTGTTGACCATATCATGATAATGCTTGATCAAATCGATGAATAAACATTGTTTGAAAAAATTGACTACTAAACCCAACATTGGTTTTTCATAATATTCTAATATCGTAAAATAGTTTCACTATTCACCGCTAGCGACGCCGATAGCGCTTTACACGTTCAAACACAAAAAAAATACTAACATTTTTCATAATATTCTAATATGGTAAAATAGTTTCACTATTCACCGCTAGCGACGCCGATAGCGCACTTTTAACACTGTCTGTTGACCATATCATGATAATGCTTGATCAAATCGATGAATAAACATTGTTTGAAAAAATTGACTACTAAACCCAACATTGGTTTTTCATAATATTCTAATATCGTAAAATAGTTTCACTAATCACCGCTAGCGACGCCGATAGCGCACTTTTTTTTAACAGAATCCACATAAATCTATGCCTTATCGGGAACATTTAAATAATATATATAAATGTTCGCAGCTTTGAGGTAGCCCAAGGATCACCCCAGCCACGTATCAATCTACTGTCGCTGATATTACTAGATGGTGTTTTCGTACGATATTATGGCAAAACGAGAGTTGACTTCGTAGATTCAATTGTAGATTGAGGATAAATTTGACAAACATTGACATTTATACGATACTAAAGATTCACCAGAGCTTAGCACGGGTGATTCCTGGATATCGGTAACAGCACCACCTACCGGATATAAAATCTAAACCAATTTGTAAATCTAAACCCACACACAAAAAATTTCATCAAAATCGGTGAGTCTCAGCGAGACTTTATTTTATACTATGGAGAGATGGTCAGTAATAATGGGCTATTATTATATGATTGCAATATTTGAAGTGGTCCAGCACTTCATGACCACATTTACATAACTTGAGAGTTTTGGCTTTCATAGTTTTAATCTGAAATTAGCGCCATCTATTTACTGCTAAATAAACTAATAATAACTAACTGATAATATTAAATATAATACTATTGAATACTTACTCTTGCAGGATCAAAAACTTAAAATATCCACCCATTATCGGATGATTTACCGTAATTGCCACGTTTAGCGAAATAACTAACTAAACTTATACTGTGTATACAAAACTGTGATTAAAAGAGAAACTTTTTAGTAACTATACTTATTGGGTGTATATCGGCATAGCAATAATTTCAGTAACTTCCTTTTGTATTAAGTTATCCGATGTAAGTTTTTATCACTATTTGATGGATTAGTAAAAATATAAACAACTATTTTATAGTGCCAATCAATATTCAATAGGCCAATGATATTATAAAACAAATATCGCAAATAAACACTCTGCTTTACATTAATAGAAGATAACGAAATTCGACATTATTTGGTCAAAATTAAATTACCTTAATTTACGAATAAATGTAAAGAGTAAAAAGTAAATAATGTAACTTTGAATCAAACATAATTTACCCTTATTAAAGATACCTCGGAAGTCATGAACAATATAAAAAGTGACAGGGGTTGCTAGACGTATGATATTAATGCAATTATAAAAAAATCTACGTCTAATAGTCTCAAAGAATTTAAAAGATATCAATCATTTGACTAACAAACGTGACAACTAGGCGACTCTACAAGGGATGCAAATTTACTGATTTTGGTATGGAGCAGTATTAATGATGTTCCTCAACGGCAGCCTACGCAAGCGAAGCCGCAGGTAAAAAGCTAGTAAGACAAAAACAAATTAGAACGTGGAATGCGATGATAGGATATCGAACATTAATAATGTGCTTTTAGATGTAGTTTATTTCTCATAACTAATGAGATAACGGTCTCTGAAAAACGCACTATCACAAGGTTTTGATCGGGGTATCCGCCTTAGAACTTTATTTTGGTCTAATCTATTAGTCGATCTAAGGATTAGTGCTAAGTTGAGTGGCTAAACTTTTGTACCATTTTTAACTATTATTTGTAGGTTCAAAAATAAAGGATGGAATGTTTTCTTCCAATTTATGTGTTACCACACCTAAATATAATAAAAAAAGAAGCATACAAAAAATATAGTAAAAAATTACAACCTCCTTCCTTTTTGTGGTCAGTTAAAAAAGGTTTTTAGTTCTTATTATAATATGCGTATTTTAAACATTTAATGTGTTATAATTTGTACACCTACGTGTATCCGCTGTCCCATCCAAAGTCATCCATTAAATTCCAAACGAAGTAGCCTTTAACGTTTACTCCATCATTTAATGCACCAAGCATAGCACTAATATAACTTCTTAAATAACTAATTCTTTCATAGTCGTACAGGCCTTTTCCTGAACTTTTTCCGTTTTCTGTCACGTAAATAATTGGATTGTTATATTTTTCTTTTATGTAGCGCAAGATGTTGTAAAACCCTGGAGCGTATTCCTGGAAAAATAAGTTAAAACTAATATATTTCTCTAAATTTTAGTCTTTACCACAGAATAAATAATAGTATAATCTGTTAAATAAGATAGTGTCGGTACACCCGGAGGCGCAATTATTATTTTGTTTCTATTTTATTATTTTTTACTGTTTTTTAAATAAATGTTTTTTTATTCTAAGAATAATAATAATAATAATAGTAATTTTTATGTTACACATGCTTACATACGGGAACAATTATGATTACAATTAAAGTAACAATAAGTCTAATAAAAATAACAAGCAATAATAAAAATTAAAACTATGTGTAGCTTAATAATGTAGAATCTACAAGTAAAATTGAAAAGTCACGTTTATAATATTAGCTACCTGCCTGAACTAGGTTGAATAACCTGTGTTTCAGACCATCACTTACACTTTGAGTTTAATAATGTAGGACACTAGATAATTTATTTTATTAAACTATATTATATAATAAATAAAATTACTAAATAACAATTATTTGTTACCTAGAATTAATACAAACTATTTTAAAATTTCTAACAACTTCTCTGTGTCTTCATAATTTAATTTATTCAGATATTCCCTTACAATTATACTACATTTCTCTTATTATATTCTTCAAGTTAAATCAAGTAAAGTAAAGTTACAGCCTATACACGTCCCACTGCTGGGCACAGGCCTCCCCTCATTTCTGAGAGGGTTTCAGGGCAAGGAAGTGTCCGCCGCGCTACCCCAATGCGTGTTGGCGAACTTCACTTGTCTTCGTAATATTTTTTTATTATTCCTCAGACATGCAGGTTTCCTCACGATGTTTTCCTTCACCGCCATACATGTGGTAAATCAGCACTTAAAATTGCAATTAAACAATTTCATTGGTGCCGGTGGGGATCGAACCCGGGTTACTCGCGTTCTGTTATTTTTACCACGGCTCTACATTTCTTATACCTTACACTATATTATATCTTTAGTGACTTATTGAACTTGTTATATAGATATAGTCCTAAAAACACGTAAAATCTGTTCACAAATGCGTGTTTGGTTTTAGGGTTTACACAAACTAAGTAAATCCTTCTCCTGTCTATGGGTTTTAAGTAAAATGGAAGTTCGGTGTGCTGTTTTAATATGATGTTGAGGATAAATAACTGACGGACAGTTAGCACACTACATGCCAAGTAAAGTAGATGTGTAGGTAACATGAATGGACGGAAAGTGGCTACCTTTACAACTGCTCTCTGAGCACGTTCTAGTGGGAGCAATATTTTTTTAGAAGCACCACCCCAGGAAGTAATGCCATAAGTGAGTATGGATTGAAACAAAGCTAAATAGACCTACTTATCAATTTAAAGTCAGCGACGTTACGGAGATATTTAAAAATATATATTAATTTTCGTACTCTAGCACAAAGCAAATCAATGTGCTTCCGGAAATTTAAAATCGTGTCATGTGTGATACCTAGATATTAAAACAGAATACTATGTTATTCTTATGGTTATTGTAATAAAATACGAATATAAATAATAAACACGAGTTAGGTAGCAGAGAAACTTACACTACGGCGGCGCTTATGGTCGCCGCACACGGTCAGTTCAAATTATCATTCCAACTGATCAGTTCAAACTAAAACTAAGTTGATATTTTTTAAAATATTGGATTTTCGATATATCGATAAGAAAATTTATATACAAAACTCCAATATTGATATATTTTTTAAAATATTACATTTTCGATATATCGAAAATGTAATATTTAAAAAAATATCAACAGTTTTAGTTTGAACTGACTAGTTATAATGATCAGTTGAACTGACTGTGTGTGGCGTCCATTAGTTTTAAAATTCCAAATCCTCCTGCCGGTGTAAACAGCACGCGGCGACCTTTGATGTCGAGGCGCAGCTTTTGACAAGGTGCAGCATGTGCTGGCGGCGCAATGCAAAGGCGACCTTATCTAAGCGAACAGACTACATACATCCTGAGCTTCCGCGCGATTTTATGTATTTATATTATGCAGATAACAAGAGTAGCAGAGGCATGTCTTTACATTGTTTTGTTACAGTTCAAGCCTTTTACAAAATAAAATAAATAAATATGGTACGTGAGGCTAATATGGCCAGCCGGTTAATACGGTCACTTTCTTATAACTCAAAAACTACAGCCTTGCTTGCATAGATGACTCTGTGATACGATAACTCTTCATCAGTCAATCCAATATTTAATTTTTTTAATTCCATTTTGACAGAAGACATTATAGTAAATACTCTCATTGATTTTAGTATTGTGTAGTGTCGTTAGTGTCTTTAAGGTCGATTTTCCAAGATTTTCTAATTATTGCCAAAGCTTGTTTGCTATTTTTTGTTAATATATTATTAGTTCTAGTAAACGATTTTATGTTTTGTCTTTAGCTTCTCTGTTCTCCTCCTAGTTTTGGTTTTATAGGGCGGCAAAATTTAAGGTGACCATTTTACCCTCACGTACCTTATTATAATAAAATAATGGCCCGGTTTAAAAAGCACACGAGTCTGTGTGCTTTTTAAACCGGGCCATTTTTGGTAAATCAACTTTTGAAAATTATGTCTTCTACTTCCAAATGTGTGTTCCATTATTTTACAGATTTCCATTATTTTGTAAACGTTAGGCAGATCGAAAACTGCTCGGCACGTTTACTATGTGATCGCTGCCATTTTCCCACAACTATTCTCTTTTAAGGGTACACTAGTCGCTTATTCTTCCATACAAACGTAGTCTGGCGATAACTCCACTGTTTGATGGTGTACGTTCAAAATAAAAAATGATTTCAATTGGTCTCATCATTATCTAGCCCTGTATGGAAACAAAAAAGTAAAAAAAGAGTATATTTAAAAGTTATAAGCGTCGAAAATTCCGAATTTCAACACTATTTTTAACACATCTTTGGGCGGAAATAAATACCATAAGAAGAACGAAAATTGCAAAACAGTTACCATACAGGGATAGATTAGTTGTTCAAAACTGCAAATAATTTTATTTTAAACAGATACATTCAATAGATTTTTCGTGACATCCAGACTACCAAAGGTCTGTTTATAAAATTTCGCGCGCCCGTTTTTGTTATAAAACATCTTGCCTTTCGCTACAAATTATTTCCCCGATCAGTGGGACGGACGGAGGGGGGGGGGCGCAGCGCGCACTCACACATGCTCACTAGGTTAGCCGCTGCTATCTATTTATGGTTGTAATACCTACATATCTACATCTTTATTTAGAAAAATTGCTTCCTTTTGTTCGTGTCCATTGCTGAAGCCGGGATGAATATAGCTGCTAAAATGTTCCCATAAGTTTGTTGAAGCACATTTAGTTAAAATTGAAAACAAGTTGGTACATAATAATGAACTTTCGATACAGATAGCACATTAGGTACTTAACTACTTTAATTTGCTAACTAACGAAAACATCTCATAGATAAGCACGATTATCGAAAATCTTAAAATTATCTATTAATTGAATTAGAATAGGTAATTTTTAGATTTTCGATAATCGTGCTTACGTATAGGAATCTCATATCCTAATATACCTATTGTTGAAATTAAAGGATTTTCTACTAGAAAAAGAAACGTGTATTTTTGGCTTTTTTGATCGATAGTAATATGTATAGGTATTTAAATCTTGTAATCTCGGAAGCTCGGAAGTCCGATTCGCACTTGGCAAAATATTTGTTTATATTTAACCTTACCTCAGACATACTCATATTTTTTTATATATAATTTACTATACTACTATATAAGCTACTACTAAAAAAATAGTAGTAGCTTTGCTATGGTATTATAGTACCTATATTTTGGATTAGATTTAATTTATTACAGAGCCGTGGTAGCTCAGTGGTTAACGCTCGCTGTAAATATAACAGAACGCGAGTAACCCGGGTTCGATCTCCGCCGGCACCAATGAAATTGTTAATTGCAATTTTAAGTGCTGATTTACCACGTGCTCGGCGGTGAAGGAAAACATCGTGAGGAAACCTGCATGTCTGAGGAATAAGAAAAAAAATATTTCGAAGACATGTGAAGTTCGTCAACACGCATTTGGGCAGCGCGGCGGACACTTCCTTGCCCTAAACCTTCTCAGAAATGAGGGGAGGCCTGAGCCCAGCAGTGGGACGTATATAGGCTGTAACTTTACTTTACTTTTATTACAGAATAACCTACCTTAGATATTGGGTTATGAATACAGATAAGTACACATAGGATTTAGTTTCTAAGTTATACCTACATATTTATAGCCTTCGTTATGAATAGCATAAACAGGTCAAGCCCCGACCAAGTAACGAATTTCTTTCTACAATCGCGCCTTTTATTTGTTTGGACTGATCACCTGACTCGTTCAGTGATGCCATTCCCATACAGTGTTTAGTTTTCAACTAGCGTTATCTATCATAAAATAAATAAAAATTTTATTCATATTTCGCTAATTGTGTCTGTACTGTGAATTTGATTTACAATCGATCTCTAAATTGTAGTTTTCTTCTAATTACTTACCTTGCCTAGACGTGTTCTTTGGACTTCTGTAAGGAAGTCTATGCTGTTAGTATTCCGTTTATATACGTTACTATTTTGATAGACGTTTGTGCTTGTCCCTGCAGTGACACAATGCCTGTTGTTATGTAATTTTCTAAGTACTAAGAGAATATTTCAAAACGCTATTGAACACAAACAATCAATAAACAATTTACAAACTAACATTTTTTTATTTAATTTACCTATATAAAAGCCACACTCACATCAAAATCGCGCTGTCGAAAAAGCAGTTATCCTGACACACTGGCTGACATATACTTCGGGGTCGGGGAGTTGCCTGCGGGCTATTATAGCTAACTAGCTATGGAAAGTAAATACCTAATTAGAATACATAGTACCTACAATAATATTTGCATAACCTACAGTAAAATACAAAACATACAGAAAACATAATTATGTTACACTTTTTTGTGTTTGTTTTGGAAATTGTTATATTTTTTTCAAAAAAAGTTTTTTATGTTACCGTTTTTAGTTTAGAGTTATGTCCCTTTAGTGGGTACAGGCGTGATATTATATTGTGTGATTGCGTAAAGAATGCATAGATAGGCGATAGCAGCAATCGCGGTTGATTTGCTGTCATTTATTGAAGTGCCCCCCGATTTCTCCAAGATCCCATCATCAGATCCTGATCTGATCATCGTCGATTACCGTGGGATTATCTGGAAAATATATCCAAATCGGTTCAGGCATATTCGAGAAATCGGGGGACAGAACATACATAAACAAAAACCAACGAATTGAGAACCACCTCCTTTTTTCGAAGTTGGTTAAAAAGTAGGTAAAAACAAATCAATGGAATTATTATATAATAACAACATCTACTTAAGTTCACATAAGAACTTTCATCATAACAACTAAGGCTAAGCACATAAATTGGGTTCATAATAATTACGTTTCACACAGCGGATTCTAAGTTACAATAACACCAATTTGCTTTCTCTCTCCTTTCTCTTTTTAAAATACGTTATCCCCGATTTTCTCCAGTATCGTGGAGGCAGTTTACAAATATAAATTGCATAAGAACAAACATACAGACCCGGAACAACTATTTGTAGTCCATACAAAATATTTGTTCCGTGGGGGATTCGAACCCGCGGCACTCAGCGCAGCTACTCATTGCTAAGCTATTGCGGCACGAAGTTCACAATTGCGGTTTGAATTTATGTTATTATTCTAAAATGAAACGCATAGGTACCTAGGTACGCGATGATGCCGTCGCGCATTGCGTCACTCGAGTGCGTATGTGTGTGCGCACTAGCTTCTTACTGCTCATCACAGCGTCTATCCCTTTCGCACGAGATGTCGGCTGAGATAGCATGCATTTTTGCCCCGCCCACCACTTAGTTCGTGCCATCGACTAGGGCAACCTTAATTCTCTAGACAATGAGGAGTGTGTCACCGTCGCCTTCGATTTAAGATTCTTTAAGATAACCTCATAAAAAAATCCATTCATAAATCGGGGCGTGTAGGCTAGTATTTGTCACATCGTCTGTATATCAATTTTCCTGAGAGACTGGTAACGTAACATGTTAGACGCGTCATCTACTCAAATAAATAAAATTGAAGTGTCATATTATGAAAGTGTATACGATCCTTACAACAAAAACTTTTTACATATTTTATTTTTGTCTGTCTGTCTCTTTGTTTCGGCTAATCTCCGAAACGGCTGTACCGATTTTGACAGTTCAGGCAACTGTCGAAGCTGAAGACCGAATGTGGCAGCATCGTTTCTGGGACACCTGAGATTCTGAGTGAGATTGAGAGGTTCTGTGGGCAGCTGTACACGTCATCGTTGGAACCACACCCAAGTGTGAGTAACAATGCAAGAGCAAGTCTTATCCGACACTATTCCGATGATGATGCGTCCATCCCGGACGTCAGTCTGAGCGAGATAAGAATGGCTCTCCAGCACCTTAAAAATAGCAAGTCCCCGGACGAGGATGGAATTACACCGGAGCTTCTGAAAGCGGGTGGAAAACCGATACTTAAAGTCTTTCAGAAGCTCTTCCGTCCTCCATGGTGGCACTACTCCGGAGGCGTGGAGCAGAAGTGCGGTGGTCCTGTTTTTCAAGAAAGGCAACAACGCTTTCTTGAAGAACTACATACCGATTTCCCTTCGAATCGTCTCGCACGCAAACTCGATGAATTCCAGCCTCCCGAACAAGCCGGTTTCTGAAAAGGCCTCAGTACCATAGACCACATATATACCCTGCGGCAGATTGTACAGAAGTCCGAAGAGTACAATCTGCCCCTTTGTCTTTTTTTTTGCGCCCGAAGCAAATATGGGCAACCCTCCGGAAAGCGGGGGAGGGAGGCGGTGAATGCTCATAGCATAGCAGCCGGCTGCGTGGTTATGTGGAGACTTTTATCCACTAAACACCGCCTTTTAGGAATTGGCTTAACGATCTGACTAGAGATCTCTAAGCCGTATACGAACGCGACCCTCCTTGGCAAAAAGGAGGGCGCAACACTTTGTCTTGCGTATGTGGACAATGGGAAAGCCTTTGATTCCGTCGAAATTTGGCGGTGCTGCAGTCCCTTCAGCGGTGCCAAGTTGACTGCCGGTATATCGAAGTGCTGAAGTGTTTGTACAGCAGGGCTATTATTGCTATCCGAGTATAAAACCAGAGTACGAAACCTATCCAACTGCAGAGAGGTGTAAGGCAGGGTGACGTAATATCCCCGAAACTCTTCACCGCTGCATTGGAAGACATTTTCAAGCTACTGGACTGGAAAGGATACGGTATTAACGTCAATGACGAGTACATCATTCACCTTTTTCTTGATTAAAACTACTTTTACAGATTTTATCGCGTTTGTTTTACTTTTAATTACTTTTATTTTTAATTTCCGACGTTTCGGGCGCTTTCCAGCACCCATGGTCACGGGGGACTGAGATGAGTGACGTCCCGATGTCATTGTTAAACCCGAAGTACCTTCAGCTTTTTTAATTATTGTTTATGGTCCGATCTATGCAAAATGAACTGACTATGTTCTGAGGTCTTGCAGTGGTATGCTTGGGTTTAGTTTTATTTTTACTAGGATATGATCACAAACTTCAGACTTCCCGGAACGTTGGTCTGCAGTTTGTGATCATATCCTAGACGGCCCCAACCATTACATCAGATTTGATAGACCACAAATCCTCGCGAAAGAACACCGATTCCTACCAAGGATGATACGTGAGGCTATTGAAATTAAAAAACATCCTAATTTCAATAGAGAAGGAGGCTGGGTACTACCACCTGCTTGGGATCCTATAATCAATAAAATTAAAACTAAACTCAAGCATACCACTGCAAGACCTCAGGACATAGTTCATTTTGCATAATCGGACATTAAACAATAATTTAAAAAAGCTGAAGGTACTCCGGGTTTAACAATGACATCGGGACGTCAGTCATCTCAGTCCCCCGTGACCATGGGTGCTGGAAAGCGCACGTCGGGAATTAAAATTAAAGTAATTAAAAGTAAAATAAACGCGATAAAATCCGTAAAAGTAGTTTAATCAATGTGTAGTGTTCGCGTAAAAATAAGAAATCATTATCACCTTTTTCTTGTTTTTTTGGTTTTTGTTATTGGTTTAATCTCAAAAATCATTAAATAAATCTTGTAATTGGTTTAATGTTAATAATTTGCATTTAAATGGAACTAAAACTAAATGTATGAAATTCGTAACTCCTAATGTCAAACATGTTAATACGAATGTAATTATAAATGGGGAAGAACTGAGTCTTGTTGATACCACCATTTTTCTTGGAATCACACTAGACGCAAAGCTTCAATGGCTCCCCCATATATCAAAACTAGCTAGCAGACTTAGTTCTGCAGCATATGCTGTAAAAAAGATTAGAACTCTTACCAGTGTTGAAACAGCAAGAATAGTTTACTTTAATTATTTCCATAGCATTATGTCGTATGGTATTTTGCTATGGGGACACGCGACTGACACTGAAATTATATTTATTTTACAGAAGAGGGCCATTAGAGCAATATATAATTTAAAAACAAAAGAGTCACTGAGACAAAAATTTAAGGATTTTAATATATCAACTCTGGCCTCTCAATATATTTATGAAAATATAATGACAAGAATAAACGTAGTTTTGCAAAAATAAGTGATATTCATTCTGTAAATACTAGGAACAGACACTAGTTAGTAGTACCAGTTACTCGACTCCACCGAGTTAGTAATTCATTCTTGGGGCGATCGATACAACAAAATCCCAGAAAATATACAAAATTTGTCATATGCAAAGTTCAAAATTTTTATTAAACTAAGTTTGTACAAAAAGGGTTATTATTTATTATAATTGCTAATTATGAAAATACCACGTAGAAAAATAAAAAAATAAGTCGTCAGGATTTGAGATAATATTATTATCTATCTATTACGTTAAAAATCGTCATTCAATTCCTTAAGGTTTCAGAGATCTAACTCAAAATGAGTGTAAAACTAGGTTTATTCTTTATTTTTTTATCGAGAATTTTTTATCGAATCCTGTTTTCGTTTCAACAGATTTGTAGATTATAAGTCCTAGTTAAATGTGTCCAAATAACAAACTCTTAGGTCTTATAGATACCGAGATCCAGATCGCTCAATATTACCAAAACAGCAATATACCTACGGAATCTTAAATCGAAGACATGCCAACACGCATTAGAGCAGCATAGCGAACTTGCTCCTTAACCTAAAAATAAGGTAAGCCGCATGCATATTTGCCCCCTCTTTTATGAAAAAAATAAAATAAACATACCGATAATTCCATACGACAAGGTTTAAAATTTGAGGGTTTGACATAGTAACTCATATAATATGCGTCCTCGTCAACGGATGGAACTTCAAACATTCCTTTTAATGAATCATTTCGATATACAAATGTATTGCTATAGTGATTAAGTGCGAAGAAATCCGATGTTCCTTTTATGTAGTTAACTTCTTCTTGAGTAAGACTACGCAGTCGGGATTCGTTATATCCTTGATTAAAACTTGTTTGGGCTACTCTGTCAACTAAAAGTTGAGGGTAGTCACCTTCTTCTGTAAATATTGGATCTGCATATTGTCCCAACTAAAAAAGAAAGTATATGCAACAAACAATCTTCAGTAGTCACATCTATCAACTTTTAAGGTTGTCTAACTTACGTTAAAAGCGAAGTAGCTAGCAATAGCATCCAAATTTTCACTAGTGTTAGTATCTGGTACAGGCCAATCCATGCTGAAGACTAGACCAATTTTTCCGTCTTGTATGTTTTTGAACTCTTTCTTGTAAATGTGAAAGGCTCTTGCATTTGCCAAGAGTATATTACGGCCACAGTCGTAAAACGCTTTACCAGGTGAGCGTATTCTTGGTGCATGCATTCCATTGTCATAACTCAATTTACAATGAATATAGGGTTCGTTGATTGTTAGCCAATGTTTCACTCTGTCGCCAAAATTTTCGAACAGAACCCTGGCGTAATCACCAAACCAATCAACTATATCTTCATTCATCCAACCACCTTGCTCGCTTAAATTTTGTGGCAAATCCCAATGATACATCGTAACAAAAGGCGTTATACCGTTTTCTAATAGTCTATCAATTAAATCATTGTAATAGGCTACACCTAAAGGGTTTACATAGTCAGCGCGACCATTAGGAAGTATTCGAGGCCATGAAATAGAGAACCTATAAGTGTTAACGCCTAATTCAGTAAGCATTTCCACGTCTCGCTCGTACAACTCATATGAGTTTGCAGCAACGTCCCCATTACTCTTGTCCATGATAGCATCTGGGTCATTTCGAACTAAAAAATCCCACATTGACCAACCTTTACCTGAAAATATACATATCTAAAATGTGATTTAGTATAATAATCTGATTGTCTTTGGAGCTTAAATACTGTACTCTAGACTATCCATAATCTTATCGCATAAGATGATTGTAAACTGTGATGTAGCGGACAGCCTAACCTTCAAATATCATAGTTGTTAAAAATAGCAATATTATATAAATTGAATAAGATATAAAGCAGACTAAATTTACTTAATATTTTGAAATAATACTAGTTTTTACGGAATTTATCGCGTATATTTAACTTTTTAAATACCCGACGTTTCGAACGCTTTACGGCACTCATGGTGAAAGACCCATACAGATAGATATTTAAACGGTGATTCTCACCACCATCCTTCACAGTTAGCTACCGTGGGTAAATCTTTGTTTCAGAGAGCACGAGGGACCTGTGACAGTAAACACCTGGCTGCAGAGCTCCACCATGTCAAGCAAGTTTTGCATGACAACAAGCTTCGAGTCCCGCACCTACGTCACAGTGAACGAGTGAAGCCGGCCACAGTCGAGCGTGTACCTGCTGTACTGCCATATGTTAGAGGAGTCACTGACAAGATTGGCTACATCTTGAAGCGCGCTTCCATCAAAACATACTTCAAGCCGCTGAAGAAGATTGGTCAGTTTTTACCATCAGTCAAGTGTAATGTCCCTCTGCAAGATGCAGGAGTGTACAAGCTTGATTGTGAATGTGGTCTCTCCTACATAGGACATACTAAAAGATCAATAAAAACCCCCCGTTAAAGAACATATAGCTGATGTGAAGAATCGACGCTCCGGGAAGTCTGCAGTCTGTGAACACGTACAGGATCGCCCCCGTCACTACATCAGATTTGATAGACCACAAATCCTCGCTAAAGAACACCGATTCCTTCCAAGGATGATTCGCGAGGCTATTGAAATCAAAAAACATCCTAATTTCAATAAAGAAGATGGCTGGGTGCTACCATCTGCTTGGGATCCTATAATAAATAATAATTAAACCCAACCCAAGCAACACTCACTTCAGATACCATAGTTCATACTCATAGATCGGAACAAAAGTTAAATTTTAATCTATGGTAACCGCGGTTAACTAAGACATATGGACGTTGAACATCTCAGTCCCGCCCGTGACCATGAGTGCTGTAAAGCGTTCGAAACGTCGGGTATTTAAAAAGTTAAATATACGCGATAAATTCCGTAAAAATTAGTATAATTTCAATGTGTAGTGTTCGCGTAAATATAAGAAATCATTATACTTAATATTAACTGAAAGTTATATTTGTTGAATTTTTATACAGTGAAATTTCTGTTAATTGTGCTTTAATATTATTACCAAGTAACCTAAAAATAGAAAATTTAAAAAAAAAGTTAATTAGTCATATTATGATTACGCTAATCAACTTTTCCTTTATTACACAAGCCCCGCCCTCCCCTTATACAACACTTGGTAGTACGTGTGTTTCTTAGAGACAAAGAATGGCAAAGTAAACTTTATCCCATCAAAAATATAAATGTGAAAAGGGGCGAAATTTGGTACAAACAACGTTGCTGATTGTCGGCTTTGTCGATAAAATATTTGAGATCTCAACGAGGACCAAACTCCATAGCAGTTTCAAGAGCATGGTACATCCCTGTTCAACACTTTTCCAGTTCCTACTATTTAAGCAACTGCTAAGGAGTTAATATACTACTACCTTAGATATCTAATATGGACAAACTCTTACCGTCAATGTTCCATGCCCCCTCTATCTGGTAAGCAGACGTAGCTACTCCAAATAAGAAATCTTCTGGAAAACGCTGTTTTGTCGCTGATGTGCCATTTTGCACATTATAGGCACGCGCTCCCAAGATTGACCTTTGCGTATGAAAAAAAAAAAAATACGAAACATGGTTTTAGCAAGGACAGATATATATAAAAAATATTTTTCCGTACAAACTTTAAACTTGTCTAAACACAGATGCCACTGCTATTCATGAAAACTGTGCGCTAATCTTATTAAATTAATTGTTTTTTGTGAAAATCGCTGTAAAAATCACGAAAAGATATTAAATTCCAATAATGTGTCTTGTAATGTGTGTATACGTGGTATGGTGGTATACGTTGTATTTAACGTTGTTATTATATTTATATTATAATGTTATTTTTTATGTTCAACTACTTCACTTTTATTCTGAATGTTATAAATTGTTTATATTAGCATATATGTCTATGTGTGTATGTGTGTTGTAAATTTAAAAATACATTTCTGTGAATAACCTAACGAGCTGTGTAGTGGCGGGCTTAAACGGCGGTGTAATTGGGAAATTATAATGATTTTAGACGTTTATAGAAATAATTTTATACGTGGTAGAGCCATGCTGCAGTTATATTAGTAGTATAGTTGTAGCACGAATGAATCGGCTCGACCGGGGAAGGACCACGCTCTCACAGAATACCAGCGTCAAATAGTAGCTTAATGCTGCTGTGTTTCGTATGGTTTGTGTAGAGAACCGGCGACCCTTTTTACTGGAAACGAGGCATTCCATCTTGGTCCTCATGGGTGACAACGCATCTACATTTTTATTATATATATATATATATATATATATATATATATATATATATATATATATATATTTGTGTTTTAATTTGAGCGCTTGATACCTGTACTATTGGGTGTTCTCGATATATATTTGTTTAGCAACATGCTAGCTTGACAAATATTTTTCAGCGAAAGACAAATACTTTCTGGAGTTATTCTATGAAATATAATCTTTAGTGGCGTTTAAGTATTTAGCTATATGCCTACTAAAGTATTGAGACACAATTTTTTTCTTAAGTCACTAATTATCACTATTCCTCGCTAAACCTATTTCATTTTATGAAATTCGGAATATCGTCAGGGAGGTTTCTGGCTCGATGGCTTAACGTTTACATTTATTAACTCAATGGAGAATATAACCATTTTTTGTTTTATATGCCAAAAATTCTACAAAAAATTACGAGAATAACTGTATTTTTGATTTTTTTCTATCTTCAAAACTGACCGAGATATAAAGGCGCAAAGTTAACATTTTCGGTCTAAGCCGCGGGCCGAGCGCGACATCGTTGATGACGTCACGATTTCCATCTTCGTGCGAGCGACCCGACGCGCACTTAGAAAATCAAAACATTTGCCCAAATGTGCCCGTCGCGCGCGGATCTACTTGCTATCTATTTTAAACAAGAAACATTATAGAACCAACATGACACCATCTATTAAATATTGTGCTGTGCCTCAATGTAAATATAAGGCCACAAGAACACCTGAAAAGTTGTTTTTTAATGTGCCTAGAAACCCTACCATCAGAAAAAAATGGACAAATGCTATGAGAAGAGCACATCCTTTATGTCCAAACACGGTAGCGTATTGTTGTGAGAATAATTTGGATGTAAGTATTCAAATAATAATAACCTTCACATGATAGCTCTTGGTTATTGCTAGTAAATGCTTTCTGTTAGGAATGTACCTACTCGAGTCGCAGTGTTTTAATAACTAACGATTCCTTGAATCAACTATGTATTGTCCTAACAAAACCTTTCCACGCTTAATGAGCATTATAATTTCAAGAAGAAACAATACCTAATACCTACATATTTAACTAAAACTACTTCAGTGTAAGTAAACATCCAAACTTGGGTAAAGTACTTACCTATGTAATGTAGAAAAGTCAATGACCTGTCGTGAGTTTGTAAGTTTAGATACCTATCTATGTTTGCAACAAATTTTAAAATGTTTATAATGCATATAAAGGTTAAAATATGGAATATGTTAACAAACGTTATTATATTTTTACGATATTTCGAGCAAAAACTAAATACATCGCAGAGCTGTTCAACCTGCATACATTGCTGGCCGCAAATAGCAATCGCAAATAATGGAAGAAGTTTGATTATGAAGTGGAGCACTTAAATTTTTTATCGTGTGGTCCTATTTTTATGTATTACATAAATGGTACATACTTTAAATATTGATGGAATACAAATTACGAGGTTCCTTATTTTTTTATAGACATTAAATAAGTTTGTATTTCGTTCTAGGTCGAAAACGATATGGAAAATTACGTGAAGTACAAAACTAGTTGGTGGTCCCCTCAAACTTAAAAAAGATGTTTTGCCTCACAAGTTTGCTTGTCAAAATCGGTATACAGAAAAACCACAAAGATGTTTACTATCAAGACTAAATGCCAAATCTAGGTCAGAAACAGTTGCACATGCGATTGCCACTACTTCACAATAAATTGAGCATATAGGTATATGTTGTCGATCCTGTTACTACTCTAGATGATAATATTGACATTGATCCCTTTGTGGCCGTGGAAGGAAAAGGGGAGATCTCCCGCCAGGCACTGTGTTCTGTCCGGGGAGCGGCCAACACTCCGAGTGGTAGTTCGGAGAAGTTCTATATATACTGTTTATGACTCGGAATATTGATAGCATGATTTAGGCTTCGGTGTGTTTCGCTTGTGGCGCGACAGCAGCGCCACCACATCACCCCCCTGCTCAGACCGGAGTTCGATAGTGCAGCCTCGTTGCCGAAGAATGTGCAAGTGCCAGGAGATTGCCTTGTAGTCTGCGGTGAGTCGAGAAGAAGGCAAGTAATCTGCGAAAGTGCCGTGAAGCAGAGGCGAGCAGTAAGGCTCAGAGCCGTGCCGAATACTGTATAGCGCAGAGAGTAGCTTGAAGGAACAGGAAGCATTATTATTGCAGTGCTGCGATGAACCTTGTGAAGCTAGATGGCTTGCAGGATATGAAGACTGCAGACGATATCTGCGCGGGAGCGAATAGGTGGGGTAGGTATTCTATGACGATGATGAAGCTTGAAGTTTCCGAAGGTTATTGGTTGCGTGTTCAGATCACGTCGGGGTCACCACTGTGGGCATGGAAGGAAAAGGGGAGATCTCCCGCCGGGCAAGGTGTTCTGCCCGGGGAGCGGTCAACACTCCGTGTGATAGTTAGGAGATGTTCTATATATACTGTTTATGATTCGGAATGTTGATAGCATGATTTAGGCTTCGGTGTGTTTCGCTTGTGGCGCGACAGCAGCGCCACCACACCTTGCCTGAAAAATATATGACTACGCTTTTAATTATAATAATAATGCGACCCTTTTTCTATTAATATTGAAAACATCTGATTTTTAGATAAAATTTATATTTATAATATTTTTATTTTTTATACACCGAAGGTATATTTGTAGTACTTAATAAACAACAGGAAAATTTTTTTACAAATAAAAACCACAAAAAGGTTAGGGTGCACTTAAGAAGAATAAGAAAACAAAACTAGTTAGAGCCAGATAGTAAGTAGGTAGGTAAGGAATGTTTACGTATTTTTGTTATACCTATTCTTATCATTAGTAAATGAAACCCAGAAGTATTAATGTAATAATGTAAAATATATTATCTTTTTCTTATGCGTATTTCAGCCGCGACAAAATCTTTGTTTCTTAGAAAATATTTCGCCACCATCATGTCACGGACTATTGGAAGGTTGTCAGATTGACCCTTTTGAAACCCTTCTTCCATCATTAAATACTTAAAAACACCAGAGCGCACGAGGACAAACAACTCACCCGCGAAATATTACTACAAACGCATTGTGTTATTAAATCAATGTACAAACGTATGATCAGCGCGCTGGAACATGGCTGGAACGGTATGGCGGCGCGGCCGCATGGAATCGATGACGTCACGCGCAACTCGCGGGCACGGGCAAGATTTTAAAAATGTACGTAAACTTTCCACGCTTATAACTTCGGTAATAGTGTACCGATCGATGCGAAAAAAAAACTACAATTAAGTGTTTGGTCTAGACTTTTTACCTACGTACTTAAAATTCTAATATTGTAACCTTGTTATCTTCTCCAGTGCTCAGTGATAGAGATGTTAAAGCAATATCGACTGAATATAATAATTCGTGGCACAATAACATTCGGCAAAAGTATAACTGATAATATTGCTCAGAAATATTTTGTCCGTTGCCGAGCCCTTTTATAAATAAGTTCAAATATGTTATCGTTTACTTAAAAATATAATATAATACATGTAAACTCTTATAGAAAGTAAGTAAACACGCGTAACGTATTTAAAAAAAAAAGGATTTGTTAGAATTATAAAAACATCAGTTCAGTTATGATTTATGGACCAAAATGTGTATAATAAGTCATTTTAAAATTTTTGATTCCGTTTGATTACAATAAAAAAATTCCTTATTAGTTTACTCACCACAGAAAAATAAGAATATGCGTTTCCATGTCCTCTCCTAACAATTTTTATGTAATACTAGACGTATTGTAGCTCTGCACCTGCTTATGTATAGACAGATATATCTCCAGCTTAGATTAGTGAATCATCATTGCTTGAAATCTATACTTACTGATATTATAACTCTTAAAAGTCTTTTCCTGTACATTGTAAGTGACACATTGTATATTTTATCAAATTTTATCTGAGACTACATACTGTTCTATCGATACAAATGTCATGTCAACAGTTTGAAAATTTGTTTATCCGTCTGTAGCTACTGTATAATAAGCATCACGCAAAAACCTCAAAAATACTTGAATGAGGGATGGGACTTTCACTGAAAGTTAAAACTTTTTATTACATTTAGGCTTGTTGGTCGGGGGTTTAAAACTCTTCAAAGAACCGGCACGAAACGGGCTCTAGTATCTTGCCAGTAATTTTAGGGTACTTTATTTTTGTAATTCTATGTATAGCCATGCATAAATTTAATTTAGACCATGTTAAGGTGACACCGCGAAAAAATGCACCACTAACGAAAGTGGAATTTTGATACAAGTAAATTCATGTCTTTATTTTGAATTTGCTTGTTCAGAAACACGATAGTATTATTTTGACTCGATTATAATTATTTGCGAAAATACCTCTAAAAAATCACTAAAGTTGAAATTACAACGAAATTACTTAATACGGTATATTCTTGGGAATCACTCAAATATGTATAATCATAATATCAATATTCATAATTTACTTGCTCATTATTTTGATTACTTAAATCAATAATTAAAAAAATAGTTTAAGATTCTGACAATTTCGAAGCGGTTTTAATCGTCGCGGGCGCTGCGCAATTTTAGACCTTAAGACTGCGTTTTTTAAGTATTTGTAGAAATTATGTATTCACTCGGATCAGTAGGTCGATAGCCCGGAGCCACTTTTTCGATGTGTCGTCTTAAGTATAGTAAAGTTAAAGTAAAATAAAGTTACAGCCTATATACGTCCCACTGCTGGGCACAAGCCTCCCCTCATTTCTGAGAGGGTTTTAGGGCAAGGAAGTGTCTGCCGCGCTGCCCCAATACGTGTTGGCGAACTTTACATGCCTTCGAAATATTTTTTTTTCTTATTGCTCTGACTTGCAGGTTTCCTCACGATGTTTTCCTTCACCGCCGAGCACGTGGTAAATCAGGACTTAAAATTGCAATTAAGACGAGGTCTTAGCACGATTTCAAATTCGTTTTTCACCCGCGTGTCCCGCAGTGGGCGGAGCGCAACCGGCTGTCGGAGAGCGCCGCGTGAACACAGTTACGCAAAGCAAGCAGACAATTCACCTCCAAACAAAAACTTTTCCGTGAGGTCTACTGTTCTCAACACTACTAGGTATTATAGTTATAATATTTTGAATACCTACTCACTAATACCAAAACTGTTTACAATATCGGTAGTCTGGACATCATACTACATTTTAATTAACAATATTTTTTTTAAATCACTTTTATGATTAGAGCAGGTACTTAGTCAACTATTTACATACATAAACATTTAAAACGCTAACTCACAAATTCAAAAAAAAAACCCAAGTTTCGTTGGCAAAATAGCTAAAATAAGAGAAAAAGAATAGTTTCAAATAAAACCATTGATTTATATAACACTAGATCAGTAATAACCGCGCCAAATCGTTGCCACTGCACATATGGCCACAGCCATATGCCTAGCTAACGTGAGTTCATTGTTCAATGTGACGCCGACAGAGTTGAGCCGCGACAAAAATGGTTAAAAAAGCGTAGTGAAAAAATGCTATTCAAGGTCACAAAAACGTAATAAATCAAGCGGAATCACTTTCAACATATAATTTTTGGTTCTTGTTTTCATATAAACGTAAAAAACCTCAAATAATTAAATAAAACAACATTGAACCTAAATATTGCCATTTAGGTTCAATGTTGCCACTTTTTCGCATTTGTGATTATCCTACATTAATGGGAGACATTACATTATTATACATTAATTAATGGAGTAAGTTAATTTGCTACCTCTGATTTTAAATATTTTGGAAATTATAATAAAAACTACGTTTTAACTTTCATACAAAATAATTAATTATTCTTATTTTAGTTTATTCATGAATTATCTATTACATATATTTTATTACCTATTTCGATGATGATGTTTTTGTTATATAATAATTCCATTGATTTGTTTTCACCTACTTTTTAACCGACTTCGAAAAAAGGAGGTGGTTCTCAATTCGTTGGTTTTTGTTTATGTATGTTCTGTCCCCCGATTTCTCGAATATGCCTGAACCGATTTGGAAAATTATTTTTTTTTGTTTGAAAGGATTATATTTTCCAGATAATCCCACGGTAATCGATGATGATCAGATCAGGATCTGATGATGTGATCTTGGAGAAATCGGGGGCACTCTTCAATAAATGACAGCAAATCAACCGCGATTGCTGCTATCGCCTATCTATGCATTCTTTACGCAATCACACAATATAATATCACGCCTGTACCCACTAAAGGGACATAACTCTGAACTAAAATGGTAACATAAAAAAACTTTTTTTTGAAAAAAAATATAACAATTTCTAAAACAAACACAAAAAAGTGTAACATAATTATGTTTTCTTTATGTTTTTGTATTTTACTGTAGGTTATGCAAATATTACTGTAGGTACTATGTATTCTAAATAGGTATTTACTTTCCATAGCTAGTTAGCTATAATAGCCCGCAGGCAACTCCCCGACCCCGAAGTATATGTCAGCCAGTGTCAGGATAACTGCTTTTTCGACAGCGCGATTTTGATGTGAGTGTGGCGTTTATATAGGTTAATTAAATAAAAAAAATGTTAGTTTGTAAATTGTTTATTGATTGTTTGTGTTCAATAGCGGTTTGAAATATTCTCTTAGTACTTAGAAAGTTATCAACAATAGGCATTGTGTCACTGCAGGGACAAGCACAAACGTCTATCGAAATAGTAACGTATATAAACGGAATACTAACAGCATAGACTTCCTTATAGAAGTCCAAAGAACACGTCTAGGCAAGGTAAGTAATTAGAAGAAAACTACAATTTAGAGATCGATTGTAAATCAAATTCACAGTACAGACACAATCAGCGAAATATGAATAAAATTTTTATTTATTTTATGATAGATAACGCTAGTTGAAAACTAAACACTGTATGGGAATGGCATCACTGAACGAGTCAGGTGGTCAGTCCAAACAAATAAAAGGCACGAACAAAAAAAGGAAGCAGTTTTTCTAAATAAAGATGTAGATATGTAGGTATTACAGCCATAAATAGATAGCAGCGGCTAACCTAGTGAGTATGTGTGAGTGCGTGCTGCGTCCCCCCTCCGTCCGTCCCACTGATCGGTGAAACAATTTGTAGCGAAAGGCAAGATGTTTTATAACAAAAACGGGCGCGCGAAATTTTATAAACAGACCTTTGGTAGTCTGGATGTCACGAAAAACCTATTGAATATATCGCACGTTTAATCAAACATAGAAATAACTCAAAAATCATGTTTTTTGGCTACGGCTGTTTAAAGTTTTGCATTTACGCAGGTCGAAGTTTGATGATCTGTAAAAAAAAAAATTAAAGTATTTTATGTATTCGAATTGATTTTATTGAAAATTTAGTTCATTAAGATTTGCTGGCATATGCGAAAAATAACAATTTACTGATGATTGACTTATAAATAGTTGATAGAAAAAAAAGTTCCGACTTAATGCACTTTATGATTAAAGGAAATTATGTGATTCTTAGAACAAGTTCATCATAATACATAATAATCCTGTTTATCTCTAAAAAATAAATAAATCATATGGGCTTATTTGATTATATTACATTGTTTTATTAATGAAGTTGGATTATTATTGTAGGAATACCAACTATTTCCTTTTTATTCAAAATATCGAGAAAATTGTTGTAAATATTTTAAAAATAAAAAAGCATAAACATAATTTATTATCCTTTTATTTATTTAAAAATAAACCTCCAAAAATAATTAAAACTTCAAAACAAATGAATAAAAAACGATTAACTTATTCTTAATCTTGACACTCTCAAATCAGTCTTAATTATAATTGTTAAGTAACTAAAATAACCTTGGAATCAATCTTAATCAAAGTCAGAAAATGTTTACATAAAAAATATCTTTTATAAAGGGTTTAATAGTTTATACCCATTTAAAATAAACAACAAAAACGTATTAACATATCAGGCTCTCTATTACCTTCCTTTTAAACTTGGTACAAAAAGGTAATTATTTTTTAACAAAATCTAAAAAATAAACTTATAAAAACTGAAAAAAAAAAACAAGTAATTAGAAACACAGAAAGGAGATCCATTAAGTTCAATTAATTATTGGATTATAGAAGTTGGCATAGAAAGGAGGAATTAATCCTTTATTAATAAGCTCTGCCAAGTCCTTTTTTTTGTTTGCACTTATATCTTGTCTTTGGTCGTAAGCTTTTTGAAGAGTAATTTCTTGGATATTCTTCATCTTTTTTCTTTTATTTCTTACATCAATTTCTTGGAAGCAATCATCTTTATAAGAGTTTTTGTAAAAAATACTAAACGGTTTCTCCTTTTTCATCATCAATACTTTTATATCGTTCCAATTAACTGAAACTCCATCCACATTTGTATTATAATTATAACCCCATTCCTCCTGCAAAAGTTTTAGATCCAGGAAGGCTTCAAAAGTTATTTCATGGACGTTTATGGCTGGTTTACTTTTCTTAGCATTTTTTATCAATGTCACATATTGATCTGGGGTGTAAATTGGTCCTGATTTCAAATTTTTCTTTATTTCCTTTTCTATCAAAGAATGAACGCTGTCAGCTTCGTTATGGGTGTGCCCACGAATTAAAAATTTCTGTGTTATGCTTCTTATATTTAACGTTTTCACAGCATATAGGTACAAAGTTGCTATATACTTATTTTTATTTTGCCCACAGCAATTGTCTGAGTAGAATGTTATGCTTTTCTCTTCAGTGCTTTCTTGAATGAATAATCTTTCAAGGTATTTCCATACACAGCTTCCTATCTCATTTGCTCCACGTTTAGCTTCTGCTTCCGTCCAAAAATAGCAGTGCACTTTATCATATGCTGTTTTTGAATTTAATTCAGTCAATTCAGTTATGGTAAGATTGTAACTGTTAAGTTTCGATTTATAGTAGAATGAGGAGGTGTCACTTCTAGGACATTGGAGTACTGCCTCTAAATCGTAAATTGCTACTATATTATTTTTAGTCACTTTTATGCGGTCTTCTTGTTTTTCAGTTCTACTTAAAGTCTTTTCTTCTATATGTTTATTATATTTCTCTTCTAGTTCTTTTGCTTTCTCTTTGCTACTATTATTATATGCTAAACATAAATCACATTGATCCTTTTTTGGTTGGAAAAAGGACAAATTAAATTCTGTAGTAAATATCTTGTAATATGCTATATAATTTCCTATCTCCTTATTATTTTCTTTCTGCTGTACTACAAAATCGTTATACAAATCTTTTATATTTTTTCCTCCGTCTATATATTCTTTAGAAGTACTAGCTCTGAGGTAATGCGATTCGATTTTAGGAATAGACTGAATATGTTTCCTGACGTCGTCGACTAGTTTTGGATCAAGAGTTTTGTGGCTGTTGTGTTTTCCTCTTAAGTCTTCAAGCATGAAACCACCGTCACTGACCTTATTTTGTATTGTAAAAATCATGCGATCCGAAATATCTAATGTTGCTTTAAAAAAAGTTTTACATACTCTTATTTTGTTAGAATTAACGCAAAAATAATAAGCTTTATTAGGACGCCTTGGGTTTTTAGCATTTGTGTACTTATATTTTGGCACAATATCAACCATACAACCATTAATATAATTTCTTTGTTTGGCCAAATCCCCTAAGTCCCAAAATTCTTTGAATATGTCATATCTTTGATTATTTGATATATTTTCTACACACTTTAATTTACACTTGTCTGTGCATGGAATTTTAAGACAGCGACTGGGAACAACTTTATGTGACCTTGTAGTAACATACGATTCACCAGTATTTCGTAGTTTTTTAGCTTTATTTTGTTTCCACTTCGCAGGATTTCTAGTTCGCCTTCGGCCTCTTTTTATTAGCGATCTTTTTTTTGAGTAGAACCATTTAAATCCGAAGAACTGGTATCACTGTCACTGTTGATAGAAGTAGTAGGAAAAAGGTAATTGGAGTTCCTTTTATGATTTTTTTCTGTCTCATATTTGAAAGTAGGGTCATCATCACTCAAATCTACACTATCACTTACATCAGTATAAACTGGTGAAATATTAATAGATTTATTAGAAGAGGGACATCTCTGAGGTCTCAACTGAATGTTGTCTGAGTCGCAACATTCACTGGCCATAACTGCTACTGTGTTGCGGTTTTCAGGTTCTTCTTCTGTTTTCGAAGATGAAGAATCATCTGAATCTGAGGAAGTTCCAGAAGAAGAAGAACTAGATGATGATGAACTTGTACTTGTTGAACTCGAGGATGATTGCGGTTGTGTTTTTTTTGTTATGTCTTGTTGAACTCCAATGCATTCCAAGTTATTGTAATCATCGCTGTCATAGTCTGGCACAAGGCTTGTTGGCAATCTCTTTTCATCAGTGTCACAAGATTTATTTTCTATGTTTCTAGAACTAATCAACCGGGAATCAATTTTTTGGCTAAAATGCAGATGATCGTCTGCATTTTCTGATAATATTTCATCGCAGCTGCTAACTAACGATATTTCTAACTTTTTATGATCGTCAGATTGTACATGTCCATCAGTAGATCGTAGATCGGTAAGATTTTTATTTGGTGGGAGATTTTCTATGTTCTCACTTGGTATATTGTTTAGGTCTTCTACAGTAGCGTTATGAGTTTCAGCTATTGGTTTAACTTCATGACTTTGCAAAGATAACGAAGAACTCGATGATACTAATTCTAGTATTTTATGTGCCCTCCGAGACGCCATTCTGTATAAAAAAAAATATTCTAAATAAACACTTTAAATATTTTTTAAACATTTTTTTTAAATAAAGCCGTTTTACTGAACTAGCCTAAAGGACAGTGAATACGATTATAGGTCCACCCGCGTGGCATCCCTACAATAAAATACAGGATAGAACAATAATTAAAACGACCTTGTTATTTTGATTGATCATCAAGAAGTAAGAATATTAAAGTCGTTATGCATTTGTATTTAACTTAAATTAATTAAAAATATAATTAAATTATATTATTATTATTATCATTATAAAACTGATACGATACTGATGTCATTACGACAATGGTTATTATACAATTTAATTTGTAATACTGTTGAGAACCTGATTAATAATAAGTTATAATTTTACTTTGAAAGAGAAATAACTTATAATGCAAAAATAATGTTGAGGACTTTTTTAAAATTAAACAGGAATAATTAAAATTGAATTTCATATTTAAAGCGTTATTTAATACTAAACTGGAGTAATTCTATTTGTTCTATAAATAAACTAAATATTTTAAAATGAAACTGAAATAACTAGTATTCATTCATACGATTTATTATTAGATTAAGAAATAAACTGTAATAACACGAAATAGGATCAGTGAAACTCAAACAAATTTTTGTAATAAAGTGAAATAAGTCCGAATAGTACCGCTATTCGAATAAATAAAACCAGGAAAATTACTCACCTGTTAATAATGCATAGAATTATTTCGGCTTATTGCATTATTCAATTGACTAAAACGGGATCCTAGTCTCTAGACCACTGACACAAGACTGAATATCTCTGTTTATTGGTTTCAACCTGTTAGGACGCGTTAATCAGAAAGAGACGGACGTCCTTCCATTTCGCTCAGATTTTGTTCAATTCGAACGGCTGTTTGAGCGCGCGTGTTCTTTGCGTTGAGTTATTGCGTTTTATGATTAAATCTCAGAATAACCGATTTTTGAGTTATTTCTATGTTTGATTAAACGTGCGATATCTGTTTAAAATAAAATTATTTGCATTTTTGAACAACTAATCTATCCCTGTATGGTAACTGTTTTGCAATTTTCGTTCTTCTTATGGTATTTATTTCCGCCCAAAGATGTGTTAAAAATAGTGTTGAAATTCGGAATTTTCGACGCTTATAACTTTTAAATTTTTACTTTTTTTTTTACTTTTTTGTTTCCATACAGGGCTAGATAATGATGAGACAAATTGAAATCATTTTTTATTTTGAACGTACACCATCAAACAGTGGAGTTATCGCCGGACTACGTTTGTATGGAAGAATAAGCGACTATTTTTTTATTCTTCCATACAAACGTAGTATTTGGGGGATGAGTCGCTCGCGTCCGTAGGCTTCGACCACCTAACCTTAGGCCCACCCTACACGTGTCCCCCGGGTGGTGCTAAACGAGCGACAAAGCCGATAAAATAGACTCGGCTCCTCGCCGTATGGTAGCGGCGTAAAATCTACCACCAATCCTTGTTCGCACCATGACTCAAGAAATAAAAGAAATGGCCCCGAGTTCCCGGCGCCCTTTCAATGGGGCAGGGGTGCGAATAATCTCCGGGAGAAAAACCGGCGACGAGGTTCGCCACCCGTCACGTTCTGTCTCCCGGAGGGGCGAAAAGTGGATTGCGGAAACCCGTCTGGCTACGCTGAATGTATGTGGAGGAATGAATGATAAGATGGATGAAGTATGCAAAATGATGAATGACAGAGGAATAGATGTGTTATGTGTGAATGAGACGAAACGAAAGGGAAAGGATGCCACTGCACATGGCACGTATACCGCGTATTGGTCTGGTGTAGGCGAGACCGAACGGGCATGCCAGGGAGTCGGTTTCATCCTTTCAGAAAGAATGGGTCAATGTGTGAAAGAGTATGAATGTGTAAGCCCAAGACTGCTATGGATATGAATGAAAGTGGGCTTAAAGAAACTGTTCCTGCTAGGGGTGTACGCCCCAGACATGTCTAAGCCCACTTACATCCGAGAGCAGTTTTGGGACATGGTAAGGATGGTGTTGACAAAATGTAAGGAAAATGAAAATATTATTATGTTAGGAGACTTTAATGGAAGGGTTGGGGTGAAGAGGTCTGGTTATGAAAGGATATTGGGAACGTTTGGTGATGAAAGTATAAATGAGAATGGTGAAGACCTCCTCACCGTATGTGCGGAAAAGAATCTTTTTGTGACGAATACTTTTTTTCGTCATAAGAAGATTCACATGTATACATGGGAAAGAGGTGATGATAGAAGCATGATAGATTTCGTAATTGTGGATGAAAGAATGAGGAGCGCAGTCGTAGATACAAGGGTTTACCGGGGTCCAACGTAGGGACGGATCATTACTTGGTCTTATGTCGAATTAATGGTCTTTTCAAGCGTTGGCGGCATCGGACATCTGTATCTACCACTGCGTTACAGCGTATAAGAATAGAGAAGTTACAAGATGAAGATGTGATAGAGAAGTATAAATGTAGACTGAGAGAAAATATTAGATGTTTGAATGAGTTGTGTATGAATGATTTAGACTTGAATACTGTGTGGGATAATATTAAGAAAGGTTTGGTGGATACCGCCACCGAAGTATGCGGTGTAAGTAAGAGAACAAATGAAAGGAAAAGTAATACGTTATGGTGGGATGATGAGGTACGGGTGGAAGTTGAATCAAAGAAGAAAGCATGGTTAGATTTACTAGCAACCAAAGCTGATAATTCTTCTGGTATGAATGATGAGATTGAAAGAAAAAAGGCAGAATTTAGACGTCTAAATAAGAGAGTAAAAGAAGTTGTTGAAAGGAAAAAGAAAGAAAGAACGGATAAGAATGATAGAAGGATATCTGATAATTTCCAGGCTAACATAAAAATGTTCTGGAAACTCGTAAGAACTGCCAGGGGAAGTACAAAACAGCCTATAATAAATGCTATAAGAGACGAGAATGGATGTATTCTGAATGATGAAGTTTCGATTTTAAACAGATGGAAGGAATACTTTGAAAGCGTGTTTATGAGTGAAGAGTCGTATGAATTAAATGAACTAGAAATTCCGAAAGAAGTGGAAAGGGGTATGGAGATAAGTGTAGATGAAATAATGAAAGCAATGAAAAGCATGAAAGCAGGTAAGGCAGCTGGATATGATAGAGTATCACTCGAGATGCTAAGGGCTGGAGAGGGAGTGGTGGCAGGCCTGATGTACACCTTGTTTAATTTATGTTGGGAATTAAAACGGGTACCGGATGACTGGTGTAAAGCAGTTATAGTACCAATATATAAAGGAAAAGGGTCACAGCAGGACTGCAAAAACTACCGCGGTATCAGCTTGCTTAGTATTGTGGGTAAACTGTATGCTAAGGTGTTAATTGAAAGAGTTATGAAAGAAACTGATGGAAAAATTTGGGATGTGCAAGCGGGTTTTAGAAAGGGAATGGGGTGTACAGATCAAGTCTTTTCCATGCGCATGATTGCGGAGAAGTTTTTGGCCAAAAACCAGAAAGTTTTTTGTGCGTTCATGGACTTGGAAAAGGCTTATGACAGAGTGGACAGGAATGTGTTATGGCAAACACTGAACTCATATGGGTTGAACGCTGGTTTGATACAGGCATTAAGGTCTCTTTATAGGGACTCTAGTGCTTGTGTCAGGATCAATGGGGTCTACTCGGACTGGTTTGGCATCCAAAAAGGTGTCAGACAGGGCTGTGTGGCTTCCCCTTGGCTGTTCAACCTATTTATGGACCGGTGTTTGCAAACTTTGAAAGATGAAGAATGTGGGTTAAGAATGGGCGAGTTAACCGTCAAATACCTTTTGTATGCCGATGATCAAGTCATACTTGCGTCATCGGCGGCAGAGTTGCAAATGATGGTTACATTAATGAACTGGGAATTAAAAGAAAGGGGAATGAAAGTGAACGCAAGTAAGACGAAAGTGATGGTTTTTGAAAGAGAAGAAAGCAAAACGGTATGTGAAATAAGAATAGAAGGAGAGTTGATTGAGCAAGTGGATGAGTTTGTGTATTTGGGATGTGTATTTAGCAGGGATGGTAGATATGATAGGGATATAGAACGACGAGTAAATGCAGGGAATAGAGTGAATGGGGCACTACACTCTATTATGAAGAACCAGAATTTATCAAAACAGGCACGTATGGTAATTCATAATGCTGTGTTAGTCCCTACTTTAATGTATGGTAGTGAAAGCTGGGTGTGGCAGAAGAAGCACGAAAGTAAAATAAATGCTGTAGAAATGCGGTCTTTAAGGAATATGCTAGGGTGTAATCTGAATGACAGGGTGAGAAATTGCGTGATAAGAGATAAATGTGGTATGCAAGATGATGTTGTGACCAGGATTAAGAAAGGAATGCTTCGGTGGTTTGGTCACGTAGAAAGAATGAATGAAGAAAGAGTGACAAAGCAAATTTATATGGCAGATGTGAATGGCCGAGTCGGGAAGGGACGCCCTAGGAAAAAGTTTATCGACCAAATTGGCGATATTTTGAAAATGGGCCACGTTAGAAGTACCCTTAACCGACGAGCATGTATGCGTAGATATATGGATGTAAAGGAGGCGAAAGAGGTATGTCAGGATCGTGCCAAATGGAAGTCCGTAGTCTCTGCCTACCCCTCTGGGTGACAGGCGTGAGTGTTTATGTAATAAGCGACTAGTGTACCCTTAAAAAATCTTAACGTAAATACTGCGGCAAAAAGAGCGACACGTCTATACAGCACCAGGCCTGGCAATGACTGCACAGGCGTTTACGCAAACATCCGTACGTATTATTTCAGGAATAAGAATATGCGATTTAAAAAAAAAAAACTATTACATGGACTAAAAAATTAAAACACTATAACGTTAATATGTTGAATGTATAAAAATCTGACAAAAAATCATAATGATTGCATGTATACTAGTATGGTTTTTACTAGTTAAAAGAAATTTTTAGAGGTATGTTTGTGATTTTTTTCTATCGTATTAAATTAGTGGTATCATGTTTTCAACACACTATCTAACTAGCATATATCCTGGACAATATCATATATTTTTCTGGGTTTGTTTACTGCAGTGGATCATATACTTTGAGGCATTATAAAACTTGCTTTTAGGGTCATGCCTCGTCTTAACAATTTCATTGGTGCCGGCAGGATCGAACCTGGTTTGCTCTCGTACTGTAAAATTTATAGCGAGCGCTAACCATCTCAGCTACCACGGCTCTATGTTAAGTATAATATAATAAAAACAACGTCGAATATGATTATTAAATACTAGCTTTTTACCCACGACTCGCTCGCTTTTTTTTTTTTTTTTTTTTTTTTTTTAATGGGGAAATGCCTACGCAAACCCGCCTCGGGGGGGCAAGGACGGGTTTTGTCGGACTCGCACCGACTAAAACCCCATGGTGTTCCACCTTTGTCGCATATTGGCAGGGCTACGGGAACGCTTTCGCACACATCCGCGGCCCTACTAGCGCCTGCCGCCCCATGGCAGCACCTCCTCGGGAGAGGAAAATTCCTCCCCGTTCTCCTTCCCAGGTAAGGCGCACCAGAACACATGGCGCGCCTTCCTCCATGGCCTCCAACTACGTCTGTGCAACAGACGCCCCCGCGTCCGATGCACAAAGGCCATGGGGCCAGGAAAAACGAGCACTTAGAAGTACTAGCCTTCCCGACCCCAGCGGCGGATCTGGTCTATGGCTCCGCCGCCAACCAAGATTCGGCTGCGGAGGGTAGGGA